CTTGAACCTCTGGAAGTTCTCTGTCAATGTTTGATTGCAGCTGTTTCTGTCTTACCTTTAGTAAAACTTTACTCGCATGGGATACTTTTCCATAAGTACTTGGGTCATTCTTATTCATTAAGCTGGAGGCACTGATGGACACTATGTGATTCTTGGGGATTTTTACCTCTTCTGAAGAGTTAGACTCCAGGGATTCCCCATTTAGTGAACAGTGAGCCTTCTTCAAGGCTGCTCCAAGCTAGGAGGGCTGGGGACTCAAAGATTCTGGACCACCTGGAGGTATTCTTTTACCTCAGGCTGGGGCTCCAGCGACAAGGGGGAGCTCATCTGTTCTCTGTTCTCTGATGGGTGGCGATGGAACTGGGGTATAGAGTCCTCTGACCAGACCCCGCTCTTGTCTGAGGGAGACCTTCCTGGGAGCTCTAGGGAGGGAAGCACATCACATCTGGGGCCTAGGTCAGCTGGCTTGGCCAGGCCTGGGAAAACTGGGGCTGGGAACTTCAGGCTCTCTGTGATAATCTCTGTGGGAGAGGGTGGATTTCAGGAGCTATTGGGTTAGGCCTGGTTTGGCTGAGCAGGGACAGGTGATGGCAGAGGAGAGCAGCTTTGTGGGTTTTCCCCATGCTCGCTGAGCCAGGCAACACATGTCTTCACCTCACTGACAGCCTTCCAAGAGGCCCCGCCTGCTGGGCTCATTGGAAACAGGAGGGACATTGTGTCATTTCTTCTCCTAGAGCCCAGCCCAACTTCCAGGAACAGGGAACTCAGACAGAAACTCTGGGGCTTAGAGGTGAGGCCTGGACTTTCCCACATCTTCCTGGTCTATAGACCCTCCTCCTTAGCTAGCCTCTGAAAGCTGACCTTGAATGTCAGCTGGAGTGGGCTGGGCACCGGCTAGGTGACGAGGCCAGGTCCTGGCAGCTCATTACCATGGGAGGGTGGTGTCTTTCCCTCCTCTTCCCTCCTTCTATTGATTCTGATTCTGTACTATCTCCTCTCTTCCAGGGCCAGACTACAGACACCCCACAGCAGCACCAGGAGCCCAGACCCGGCAGCCAGTCAGAGGACCTCAGGAACTAACTGCCTGCAGCTATGTCAGCTCTCAGCCTGCTCATTCTGGGCCTTCTCATGGCAGTGCCACCTGCCAGCGGTCAACAAGGTAGCACGGGACAGGGCCAGGCCTAGTGACTGTGGTGAGGGGAGGCCGGGTTGGGCAGGCTGGTGGCGGTGGTCTTTTGGGAGTGACATCTGTAGTTTGGTGTGGGGAAAGGAGAAAGGACTGAGATAGCAGGGAGACCGTCTCCAACTGCAGAGCCAAGTTTCTGTCTGAAATATTTTTTTCCATGAACATGAGCAATGGAGGCAAAATGTTATGTCTATGGTTTGGGGGAGGAACAGGGCTTAGGACCCAAACCCCAAGAGCAGAACTCGCCTTAGGGATGTCTGGGTCCTGAGGACAAGAGTCAGGGGCTATAAGGAGGGTGGAAGAGAGACTCCAAACAGGGTCCAGGTTTGCTCCTGGGGAGGAGGCAATGTTGTCAGGGGTTACCATTGGCTTTGACCCAAGTCTGTGTTGTTTCAGCTTCCTGGGCTTGCCCCAATGTGGCCCCTGCCATGCGCCTTAGCTCTCCATTCAGCTTTACTCTATCTTGCTGTGTGGCCTTGAGTAAATCAGTGCCCCTCTCTGAATCTCAGTTTTCTCACCTCATAAAATGAGGGAAATAAACCCCACCCTGGCCAGTTCTCAGAGCTGCTGCCCAGTCAGGTCAGTGGTGTGGAAGGGGCTCTGCACATGGTGAGCACCACACCCTCAAGTCTGGCATCCACCCTACACTGTCATCTGCAGTCAAAGTCTGGGGAATCTGTAGGTGGGAATTAGGTTGTAAAGGTTGAGAGGGTTATAAAGGTGCTTCCACAGCGCCCCCTCCCTTGCTCAGGTACTCTGAGTTCTCATGACTGTCTGCTTTCAGGTTTTGGAAGCCCTCTGCTGAATTGAAGATCAGAGGGGTTGAGTGATTTGTGCCAGTCACTCAGCAGGACAAGAAGGGATGGGACCCACGTCATCTTTCCCTTGTCTCACACTCTGCACCTTACTTCTGTGCCCATCCTGAAAGGAGGAGCATGGGCCACTGGTGTGTCTGGAAGGAGTCGCTGCAGGGTCTGGAGGAAGCAGGGAGAGGCATTTCCTAACTCAAAATCTTTAAGCAACCACTGACTTGAGAAAACATGGGTCTAACCATTGTTTCTCTGGGGAAACAATGAATCCAAAACACTGCTTTTTGGCAAATATGGAACTCAGGGTAACCACATTATATGTGTTATTTTACACCTGTAGACAGGAGGTCAGAGTGTCCTGACTCCTTCCTCTCCCAATACCTGTGAAACTCAGACAGAGCTCAGAGAAGGCACAGGGTCTTTACAGCAGGAGAGCTTTAGGGTAGACTCAAGGAAGGTCTTTTGGACAGGAGTGAGGTGGAGTAATGTTTTTGATGCTCAGCCTGGGTCCTTCAAATGTATGCCACAAAGGATATAGGTAGGTGATCTGGCCAGGAGGTAGGAGCTCTGAGGAACTTCCTGTTGTTCTCCATCCAGCCCCTCTTGGGACCTCTACCTGATGAGTTGTCAGTGAACTCAAGGAGGAGACTCCTGGGAAATCTTGAGGATTTGAGGTGGTATCAAGGACCAAGGGTCAAAAAAGAAGAGATTAAGGCCTTGTTTCTGCCCTGGTCCTCTGGGTAGCCAGCTGGGGAGTTTAAAGAGCTTGGTTTTTGATGCTTTCTTCTTACCCCTCCCCAGTCCACTCCTTGTGCCCACCTCATCTTCCCTCTCCACCTTTTCCCCAAACTCCTCTCTGGGCACCCCTGGCACCTCCAGGAGAGTCCTGCCTGCACCACACTCCCATACCCTCCCTGGCACCAGAGGGGCCTCTTGTTACAGAACAGGATCTTCCAGATGCTTGCTCAGCTGTGTCAG